CCAGGTCTTATGTTTAAGTCTTTAATCCATCTGGAGTTAATTTTAGTGTAAGGTGTCAGGAAGGGGTCCAGTTTCTGCTTTCTACACATGGCTAGCCAATTTTTCCAACACCATTTGTTAAACAGGGCATCCTTTCCCCATTGCTTTTGTCAGGTTTATCAAAGATTAAATGGTTGCAGCTATGTTGTGTTGCCTCCGATGCCTCTGTTCTGTTCCATTGGTCTATATCTCTGTTTTGGTACCATTACCATGCTGTTTTGATTACTGTAGCCTTGTAGTATAGTTTAAAATCCAGTAGTTTGATGCCCCTCACTGTGTTCCTTTTGCTTAGAATTGAGTTGGCTATGTGGGCTCTCTTTTGGTTCCATATGAAGTTCATGGTGGTTTTTTCCAGTTCTGTGAAGAAAGTCAATGGTAGCTTGATGGGGATAGTGTTGATTCTGTAAATTACTTTGGGCAATATAGCCATTTTCACGATATTAATTCTTCCTAACCATAAACATGGGATGTTTCTCCATCTGTTTGTGTCCTCTCTTATTTTGTTGAGCAGTGGTTTGTAGTTTTCTTGACTAGGTCTCTTACATTCCTCTTTGTGTGTCTGGTAGAATTCGGCTGTGAACCCGTCTGGACCTGGGCTTTTTTTGTGTGGTAGGCTCTTTATTGCTGCCTCGACTTCTGACCTTGTTATTGGTCTAGTCATAGTTTCAGCTTCCTCCTTGTTTAGGCTTGGGAGGACACAGGAGTCCAGGAATTTATTTATTTCTCCAGGTTTACTCGTTTATGTGCATAGAGTTGTTTGTAATATTCTGATGACGGTTTGAATTTCTATGGAATCTGTGGTGATTTTTCCTTGATCATTTTTTATTGCATCTATTCGGCTGTTCTTTCTTTTCTCTTTTATCAATCTGGCTAGTGGTTTGTCTATTTTGTTGATCTTTTCAAAAAACCAGCTCTTGGATTTATTGATTTTTTTTGAAGGATTTTTTTGTATATCTGTCTCCTTCAGTTCTGCTCTAATTTTGACGATAGGGTGGCGATTTTGGATATCTCCACTCTTCTCATATGGACACTTATTGCTATATATTTTCCTCTAGAGACTGCTTTAAATGTGTCCCAGAGATTCTGGCATGTTATTGGTTTCAAAGAACTTATTTATTTCTGCCTTCATTTCATTGTTTCTCCAGTCAACATTCAAGAGCCAGTTGCTCAGTTTCTATGAAGCTGTGTGTTTCTTTGTTGGTTTCTGAATTCTGAGTTGTAACTTGATTGCACTATGGTCTGAGAGACTGTTTGTTATGATTTCAGTTGTTTTGCATTTGCTGAGGAGTGCTTTACTTCCAATTATGTGGTCAATTTTAGAGTAGGTGTGATGTGGTGCTGAGAAGAATGTATATTCTGTGGATTTGGGGTGGAGAGTTCTGTAAATGTCTATCAGGTTTGCTTGTTCTAACTCAGGTCTGAGTTCAAGCCCTAAATATCCTTTTTGATTTTCTGTCTGGTTGATGTGTCTATTATTGACCGTGGAGTATTAAAGTCTCCCACTATTATTGTATGGGAGTCTAAGTCTCTTTGTAAGTCATTAAGTGCTTGCCATATGTATCTGGGTGCTCCTGTATTGGGTTCATGTATATTTAGCATCGTTATCTCTTCTTGTTGTATCAATTTGTTTACCAGTATGTAATGACCTTCTTTGTCTCTTCTGATGTTTGTTGCTCTAAAGTCTATTTTATTAGAGACGAGAACTGCAACTCCTGCTTTTTTTTGCTCTCCATTTGATTGGTAAATCTTCCGTCATCCCTTTATTTTGAGCCTTGCATGTGAGATGGGTTTCCTGGATACAGCACAGCGATGAGTTTTGGCTTTTATCCAATTTCCCAGTCTGTGTCCTTTGAATGGTGCATTCAGTGCATTTTCCTTTAGGGTTAATATTGTTATATGTGAATTTGAGACTGCCATTTTGATGCTAGCTGGCTGTTTTGTCTTTTAGTTGATGCAGATTCTTCATTTTGTTGATGCTCTTTAGCATTCTGTATGTTTTTGGAATGGCTGGTACTGGTTGTTTTTTTCTATGTGTAGTGCCTCTTTCAGGAGCTCTTGTAGAGCATGCCTGTTGGTGAAAAATCTCTGAGTACTTACTTGTTTTCAAAGGATTTTATCTTTCCTTCCCTCATGAAGCTCAGTTTGGCTGGATATGAAATTCTGGGTTGAATGTTCTCTTCTTTAAGGATGTTGGATATTGGCTCCCACTCTCTTCTGGCTTGTATAGTTTCTGCCAAGAGATCTGCTATGAGTCTGATGGCCTTCCCTTTGTGGGTGACCCAACCTTTCTCTCTGGCTGCCCTTAGCATTTTCTCCTTTATTTCAATCGTGGTGAATCTGAGGATTATGTGCCTTGGGGCTGCTCTATTTGCGGAATATCTTTGTGGCGTTCTCTGTATTTTTGGGGCTTGAATATTGGCTGCCTTGCTAGGTTGGGGAAATTTTCCTGGAAAATATCCTGAAGAGTATTTTCCAGCTTGGATTTATTCTCTTCGTCACATTCTGATACACCTATCAACGTTGGTTAGGTCTCTTCACATAGTTCCACATTTCTTGGAGACTTTGTTCATTTCTTTTTGCGCTTTTGTCTCTAATCTTGGTTTCTGATTTAATTTCATTGAGTTGATCTTTGACTTCTGATATTCTTTCTTCTGCTTGGTCATTTCGGCTGTTGAAACTTGTGCATGCTTTGTGAAGTTCTCCTGTTGTGTTTTTCAGCTACTTCAATTTATTTATATTCCTCTTTAAGTTGTCTATTCTTGTTATCATTTCCTCAAATCTTTTTTGAAATCTTTTTTCAAGGTTCGTAGTTTCTTTGCATTGATTTAGAACATGTTCTTTCAGCTCATGGAAGTTTCTCATTATCCACTTTCTGAAGTCTGATTTCGTCATTTCATCACACTCATTCTTCGTCCAGCTTTGTTCCCTTGCTGGTGAGGAGTTTTGGTCTTTAGTTGCAGGCGAGGTGTTCTTGTTTCGGGTGTTTTCCTCCTTTTTGCGCTGGTTTCTTCCCATCTTTGTGGATTTATTCACCTGTTGTTTGAGTAGTTTCTGACTTTCAATTGGGTCTCTGAGTGGAGGCCCAGATTTTTGATGATGAAGTATTTCTGTTACTTAGTTTTCCTTCTAACCATCTACGCCCTCTGCTGTACGATTGCTGAGGTCCACTTCAGGCCCTGCTTGTCTTGGGTACACCTGTAGTAGCTGCAGAACAGTGAAGGATGCTTCCAGTTTCTTTTTTTTTCTATCTTTGTCCCAGAATGATGCCTGCCCAATTTCAGTTTGATTAGTTCATTTTGAGGTGACTCTTTAGATATACAGGGGTCAGGGAGCTGTTTGAGGAGACGGTCTGTACTTTATAGGAGCTCAAGTGCTGATGTGTGAGCTCCATTGTTCATTCAAGGCTGTTAGGCTGGTGTGTTTATGTCTGCTGCAGCAGAACTTAAAAAACCCCTTCTTTTCCTCAGATGCTCTGTCTCGGGGAGTTAACGCCTTTTTTATGAGTATCTGTTGCACTGTCCTGCCCAGTTAGGAGGCAGTCTAGTCACTATTTGCCTGCCAAGGCTCTACGCTGCTACCTTGGGGTTTACCCTGTTGCCGTGGGCTCTGCCCTGCTTCTGTGGGCTCCGCGCTGTTGCTGTGGGCTCTGCCCTGTTGCCATGGGCTTCGCCTTGCTGCTGTGGGCTCCACCCTATTGCTGTCGTCTCTGCCCTGCTGTTTTGTGTTCCACCCTGTTTGTGGAGTCTCTCTGTTATGGCGGATTGCCTCAGCAACGGCAGGCTGTATCAGTAGTGGGAGTGTATCTCAGTAGGGGCGGAATGCCTCTGTAATGGCAGATGCTTCTCCCCCACCAAGCTGCACCATCCTGGATTCAGCTGTTCTCGCAGTGAAACTCTTAACCCTGAGTGTTTTGAATCGCCATTTTGTTTGTCCCCGTGGGGGTGGGACCTGCCGAGCCTGATCACCTGGCTTCCTGCCTCAGAGTCCTTTTTCTTTCTTTCTTTTTTTTTTAAGTTGAATGGTTGACTCTCAGCCAGGTTTTTCAGTCACCTGCTGATTGGGCACCGGGATCTGTGTGATTTCCTGTGCAGCGACCCACTGCGCCGGCTCAAATGTCGCTTCTTGGTAATCTCTTTGTCTGGCTCACTGTCCGAGTCCCATTTAATCAGATGGATATGCTAATCTGCCCTCCCAAATCTCAGATTTCCCTTTTAGCAGGGCACCCAGACCAGTACCTTTTTGTGCATAGTTCTGTACTGCAGCGCTGGCTGAAACGGCCACACCAGCCAAACGGGGTGCGCTGATGTCCCATGTCTGTCCTACACCTGGGAATTTTCCCATTCTGTGGGCAGCGATGATTTGTCTGGAAATGCGGCTTGAACTCACCCTTTGCGCCTTCACTGAGAGCTGTAATCCTGAGTTGCTGCTACTGTACCATCTTCAGAAGTTTCCTTAACCTTCTTAAATAAAGTTATTACTAGGGTTTTTTTGTTCAGCCATTATAAGTAGTTTTTATTTTTAGGTTTTAGACAAATTCCTATGAGTATATAGAAACACTACTGATTTTTATGTTGATTTTGTATTCTGCAAATTTACTGACATTATTTGCTCTGTCCGCATTTTTATGGAGGCCTTAGCATGTTCTTATAAAAGAAGTGTTTTCTTTAGGACTTTCTCCAAACAGAGATAATTTAACTTGTTTTCCAATTTGAATGCTTTTAAATTGCCTTTTCTGCCTCACTACTCTGGCTAGGATTTCAGAACTATATTGATATACAGTGATGAAACATGGCATTATTTTTTAGTTTACAGCGTTGGCCTTTTGAATGACCAGGAATAATATTAAGCAGCATGCTCCATGCTCTAAGACACAGTTGTCTTTTAATGCATATGTTGCTCAGTTTGCCTTTCTTCACCATATCTCACTGCGTACTCACTCTGGCAAATCTCTTACCCAACAGGATTATGCAACCAGTGGTTGGAATTTGAATGTGATGCCGGTGCTAGATCAGTCTGTTCTCTGTCACATCAATGCAGACATCTCAGGCATGAAGGTGCCCTGGCTTTATGTGGGCATGGTTTTTTCAGCATTTTGTTGGCATATTGAGGATCACTGGAGTTACTCTATTAACTATCTGCACTGGTGAGCAGGGCCCCGGTGATTGGGATGGATGTTGAGACTGACTGATATGCAAGGATGTATATAGACTCGATGTGTCTTCTCTACCTGAGCAGGGGTGAGCCGAAGACGTGGTATGGCGTACCCTCAGTAGCAGCGGAGCATTTGGAAGAAGTGATGAAGAGGCTGACACCTGAGCTGTTTGATAGCCAACCTGACCTCCTTCACCAGCTTGTCACTCTCATGAATCCCAACACTCTAATGTCCCATGGTGTGCCAGTGAGTACCAAGGATAAAGGATTAGTGAGGACCAAGGATCAAAACAATTTTAATTTTATTCCCTCGGGTGAAAAGGGAATGAGGACAGACTTAGTTTTGCAGGAAATAACCCGTATGCATTTTTTTGTGAAGATTAGGCTTAACATCACACCTTTCTTTGTCTTTTATTGGTGACATCAAGTTGCAGATCGGTACAGTTCGCTGGGACACCTAAGAGAAAATACGAAAGAGAAATTATGTAATTACTTAAGAGAATAAAAATTAAAACTGTGATTCTGGCCTTTTTATCTCCTTTCTAGTCTAGAACTGGTTTTCTTTTAATATTACTGAATGTAGTTCTTAAATTTGCAAAACCCACATGGGGCTGGGGGACTGGTTTCAAAGTTTTGGGTATTTCTATGATTGAATTATATCAGCTCATTTTGCTAAAGAATCAGCTAGTAATTTGTTTATGGTACGTGGACTGCGTTACTCTCTACATGCAGTGCCTTTTCTTATTTGAAATTCTGTAAGCTTTGCATTGACTGCTTTATAAGCTTTCATAACTTTCCTGGCAAAAATCTTCCTCAGTTTTTTCTTCTGAACAAATCGCACTTAGTTTCTCCAACGCTCTGAGTTTTTACTGACATTTTATACATTATATAAATTCTAACTTGTACCTTTTCTTTTCCGTTTTCTAGTATTGCTCTTCTCTCATGAGGAAAGAATGTTGATGATAATGAGCACTGAAACAATCTGATATTGGCTGTGGAGTTTGTCATAAATACCTCTTATTATTTTGAGATATGTTCCATCAATACCTAGTATATTGAGAGTTTTTAGCATGAGAAACTGTTGAATTTTGTCAAAAGCCTGCTCTGCGTCTATTGGGATAATCATGTGTTTTTTTGCCTTTGGTTCTGTTTATGTGATGGAATAATTATGTTTATAGATTTTTGTATGTTAAGCCAGCCTTGTATCCCACGGACGAAGCCGACTTGTCTGTGATCGATAAGCTTTTTGATGTGCTGTTGGATTCGGTTTCCCAGGAATTTACTGAGGATTTTTGCATCAACATTTATCAGGAAATCTGGCCTAGAATTTTCTTTATTCACAGAGTCTTTGCCAGGTTTTGGTATCAGGATGATGCTGCCCTCATAAAATGTTTAGGGAGGATTCCATCTTTTTTTTCTTAATTGCATTTTAGGTTTTTGGGGTACATGTGTAAAACATGCAAGATTGTTGCATAGGTACACACATGGCAGTGTGTTTTGTTGCCTTCCTCCCCTTCACCTACATTTGGCATTTCTCCCCCTGTTATCCCTCCCCAGCTCCCCCGATGCTGTCCCCCCCTTATTCCCCCCAATAGACCTAAGTATGTAGTACCCCCTTCCCTGTGACCATGTGTTCTCATTGTTCATCACCCGCTTCTGAGTGAGATATGCAGTATTTCATTTTCTGTTCTTGTGTCAGTTTGCTGAGAATGATGTTCTCAAGATTCATCCATGTCCCTACAAAGGACATGAACTCATCATTTTTGATTGCTGCATAATATTCCATGGTGTATATGTACCATATTTTCACAGTTTACTCTATCATCAATGGGTATTAGGGTTGGTTCCAGGTCTTTGCTGTTGTAAACAGTGCTCCAGTGAACATTTGTGTGCATGTGTCCTTATAGTAGAACGATTTAGAGTCCTTGGGATATATACCCAGTAATGGGATTGCTGGGTCAAATGGAACTTCTATTTCTAAGTCCTTGAAGAATCGCCACACTGTCTTCCACAATAATTGAACTAATTTACACTCCCACCAGCTGTGTAATAGTGTTCCATTTCGCCACATCCTCTCTAGCATCTGTTGTCTCCAGATTTTTTAATGATCGCCATTTTAACTGGTGTGAAATGGTATCTCAATGTGGTTTTGATTTGCATCTCTCTAATGACTAGTGACAATGAGAATTTTTTCATGTTTGTTGGCCTCATGTATGTCTTCTTTTGTAAAGTGTCTGTTCATATCCTTTGTCCATTTTTGAATGGGCTTGTTTGTTTTTTTCCTGTAAATCTGTTTGAGTTCTTTGTAAATTATGGATATCAGCCCTTTGTCCGATGGGTAAACTGCAAAAATTTTATCTTATTCTGTTGGTTGCCGATCCACTCTAGTGACTGTCTCTTTTGCCATGCAGAAGCTGTGGAGTTTCATTAGGTCCCATTTGTCTATTTTGGCTTTTGTTGCCAATGCTTTTGGTGTTTTGTTCATGAAGTCCTTGCCTACTCCTATGTCCTGAATGGTTTTGCCTAGATTTCCTTCTAGGGTTTTTATGGTGCCAGGTCTTATGTTTAAGTCTTTAATCCATCTAGAGTTAATTTTAGTGTAAGGTGTCAAGAAGGGGTCCAGTTTCTTCCTTCTGCATATGACTAGGCAGTTTTCCCAACAGCATTTATTAAACAGGGAATCGTTTCCCCATTGCTTGATTTTATCAGGTTTATCAAAGATTGTATTCTTGTAAATATGTGGTGTTGTGTCTGAGGCCTCTGTTCTGTTCCATTGGTCTGTATCTCTGTTTTGGTACCAGTACCATGGTTTTTTGATTACTGTAGCCTTGTAGTATAGTTTGAAGTTTGGTAGTGTGATGCTTTTCACTGTCTTCTTTTTGCTTAGAAGTGACTTGGCTATGCGGGCTCTCTTTTGGTTCCATATGAAGTTCAAGGTGGTTATTTGATTGTTAGGCTAATTGCTGCCTCAACTTTGGGCCTTGTTCCTGGACTATTCAGGGATTCTGTTTCTTTCTGGTTTAGTTTTTGTAGTCTGTATGTATTTAGGAATGTATCCATTTCTTCTAGATTTTCTGATTTATTTGCATAGAGATATTTATAGTATTCTCTAATGATAGTTTGTATTTCTGTGGGATCGGTGGTGACATCCTCTTTATCATTTTTATATTGCATCTGTTTTCTTCTCTCTTTTCTTTATTAGTCTGGCTAGTGGTCTATTTCTTTTGTTCATCTTTTCAAAAAGCCAGCTTCTGGATTCATTGATATTTTTTTTTTCTCTTCGAAGGGCTTTTTGTGTCTCTGTCTCTTTTTTTGTTTGTTTGTTTAATTTTTTATTGGATTTTAGGTTTTGGGGTAAATGAGCAGAGCATGCAAGACAGTTGCGTAGGAACACACATGGCAGTGTGCTTTTCTTTCCTTCTCCCCTTCACCCACATTTGGCATTTCTCCCCAGGCTATCCCTCCCCACCATCCCCTCCCACTTGCCCTCCCCTTTTCCCCCCAATAGACCCCAGTGTTTAGTACTCCCCTTTCTGTTTTAGTTCTGCTCTGATCTTAAGTTATTTCTTGTCCTCTGCTAGCTTTTGAATCTTTGCTCTTGCTTCTCTAGTTCTTTAATTGTGACATTAGGATGTTGATTTTAGATCTTTTTTGCTTTCTCTTGTGGGCATTTAGTACTACATATTTTGTTCTACACACTGCTTTAAAAGTGTCCCAGAGATTCTGATACATTGTGTCTTCATTCTCATTGGTTTCAAAGAGCATTTTTATTTCTGCCTTCATTTCATTATTTATACAGTAGTCATTCAGGAACCGGTTGTTCTGTTTCCATGTAGTTTTGAGGTTTTGAGTGGGTTTCTTAATCCTAAGTTCTAATTTGATTGTAGTGTGGTCTGAGAGATGGTTTGTTAGGATTTCTGTTCTTTTGCATTTGCTGAGGAGTGTTTTGCTTCCATTTATGTGGTCAATTTTAGAATAAGAGTGATGTGGTGCTTAGAATAATGTATATTCTGTGGATTTAGGGTGTAGAGTTTTGTAGATGTCTGTTAGGGCTGCTTGGCCCAGATCTGAGTTCAAGTCCTGGATATTCTTGTTAATTTTCTGTCTCATTGATGTGTCTAATATTCACAGTGGGGTGTTAAAGTCTGTCATTATTATTTTGTGGGACTCTAAGTTTCTTTATAGGTCTCTAAGAATTTGCTTTATGAACCTGGGTACTCTTGTATTGGGTACATAAATTTTGAGAATAGCTCTTCTTGTTGCATTGATCTTTTTACCATTATGTAATGTCTTTTTTTGTGTCTGTTGATCTTTGTTGGTGTAAAATCTGTTTTATCAGAGACTAGGATTGCACCCTCTGCTATTTTTTGCTTTCCATTTGCTTGGAAAATATTTATCTTTTTATTTTGAACCTATGTGTGTCTGTGGACACAAGATGGGTCTCCTGAATACAGCACACTGATGGGTCTTGACTTTATCCAGTTTGCCAGTCTGTGTCTTTTAATTGGGGCATAGCCCATTTACATTTAAGGTTAATATTTTTATGTATACATTTGATCCTGCTATTATGATGCTAGCTGGTTACTTTGCTTGTTAGTTGATGTAGTTTCTTCATAGTGTGGATGGTCTTTATGATACAGTGTGTTTTTACAGTGGCTGGTACCTGTTGTTTTTTTCCGTGATTAGCGCTTTATTCAGGAGCTCTTTCTTGTAAGGCAGGCCTGATGGTGACAAGAGATTATGTCACCATCAGGCCTGCCTTATGAGATGTTGCTTGTCTGTAAAGGATTTTAAGTCTCCTTTACTTATGAAGCCTAATTTGGTTGGATATGAAATTCTGGTTTGAAAATTCTTTTTTGTAAGAGTGTTCAATATTGGCCCCCCTCCCTTCTGGCTTGTAGGTTTTCTGCTGAGAGATCTGCTAATACTCTGATGGGCTCGGGGTAACCTGGCCTTTCTCTCTGGCTGCCCTTAACACCTTTTCTTCATTTCAACCATGGTGAATCTGACGATTATGTGCCTTGGAACCCGGCTGCTCTTGTGGTATATCCTTGTGGTGGTTTCTGTATTTCCTGAATTTGAATGTTGACCTTTTTGCTAGATTGGAGAAGTTCTTTTAGATAATAATCCTGAGTAGTGTTTTCCAACTTGGTTTCATTCTCCCCATCACTTTCAGGTACACTGATCAAATGTGGATTTGGTCTTTCCACATAATCCCATGTTTCTTGGAGGCTTTGTTTGTTTATTTTCACTCTTTTTCTCTAATCTTTCCTTCTTGCTTTCATGGAGTAGATCTTTTTTTTTAAGATGGAGTTTCGCTCTTGTTACCCAGGCTGGAGTGCAATGGCACGACCCCAGCTCACCACAACCTCCGCCTCCTGGGATCAGGCAATTCTCCTGCCTCAGCCTCCCGAGTAGCTGGGATTACAGACATGTGCCACCATGCCCAGCTAATTTTTGTATTTTTAGTAGAGATGGGGTTTCACCATGTTAACCAGGATGGTTTTGATCTCTTGACCTTGTGATCCACCCGCCTCGGCCTCCCAAAGTGCTGGGATTGCAGGCTTCTAATGGAGTAGATCTTAAATCTCTGATAACCTTTCTTATGCTTGATTTACTCAGCTATTGAAACTTCTGTATGTTTCATGAAGTTCTTGTGCTGTGTTTTTCAGCTCCCTTGGGTTGTTTCATGTTCTTCTCTAAACTGGTTGTTCTAGTTAGCAATTTGTCTAACCTTTTTTCAGTGTTCATCGTTTCCTTGCATTGCGTTAGAACATGCTCCTTTAGCTCAGAGACATTTGTTATTACCCACCTTCTAAAGGCTTTTTCTGTCAATTTGCCAAACTCATTCTCTGTCTATTTTTGTTCCCTTGCTGGCAAGGAGTTTTGATTCCTTGAAGGATGAGACGCATTCTGATTTTTTGGAATTTTCAGCCTTTTTGCACTAGTTTATTCCCATCTTTGTGGATTTATCTGTCTTTGGTCTTAAAGTCAGTGACCTTTGGATGGGGTCTCTGAGTGACCATCCGCTTTGTTGATGTTGATATTATTACTTTCTGTTAGTTTTTTTTCTCACAATCAGTCCATTAGGCCCATCTGCTGCAGGTTTGCTGGAGTGTGCTGGAGGTCCACTCCAGGCCCTGCTTGCCTAGGGGGTATCACTGACAGCGGCTCCAAAACAGCAGAGATTGTTGCATGATCCTTCCTTTGGTAGCTTCGGCCCTAGTGGGAAGTGCCGCCGAGTCAGGATATATGGGGATCAGGGAGCCACTTGAGGAGGCAGTCTGTGCCTTATCAGAGCTCAGATGCTATGCTCGAAGATCCTCTGCTCTCTTCAGAGCTGCCAGTCAGAGATGTTTAAGTCTGCTGAAGCTATGTTCACAACCACCCCTTTTTCCAGCCTCTGTCCCAGAAAGGTGGGGATTTATTTATAAGTCCCTGACTGGGGCCACTGCCTTTTTTCATATATGCCCTGCCCAGAAAGGAGGGACTCTAGGTGAAAGTCCCTCAGTCAGTCTGCTGTGCACTTGCTGAGCTGTTGCTCTGCTCAGTCCAAACTATAATTTTAAAGCCACCTACCTACCTGAGCCTCAGCAATGGCAGACGCTCCTCCCCACACCTAGCTTGAGTATCCCAGGTCCAGTTTAGGCTGCTGTACTGGCTGTGAAAATTTCAAGCCAGTGGGTCTTAGCTTGCCGGTGTTCATGGAGGTTGCATCTGCTGAGCCAGACCACTTGGCATTCTAGCGTCAGCCCTCTTTCCAGGGGAGCGAGCGGTTCTGTCTTGCTGGCATTCCAGGTGCCACTGGGGTATAAAAAAACAAAAACAAAACTGCTGCAGCCAGCTCAGTGTCTGCTTAAATAGCTGCCCAGTTTAGAGCTGGAAGCCTGGAGCCTTGGTGGTGTAGGTACCGGAGTGAATCTCCTGGTCTGTGTGTTATGAAGACCATGGGAAAAGCACAGTGTCTGGGCCAGGGTACAGGGCACTGTCTCTCATGGCTTCCCTTGGCTAAGAGAGGAAGTTCTCTGACCCCTTGTGCTTCCTGGGCAAGGTGATGCCTCACTCTGTTTCAACTCCCTCTCTTTGGGCTACGCCCACTGTCTGACCAGTCCCAGTGAGATGAACCTGATAACTCAGTTGGAAATGCAGAAATCACCTGACTTTTTCATTGATCTCTCTGGGACCTGCACATCGGAGTTGTGGCTATTAGGCCATCTTGGACCTACCTTCTATATTTTTTTACATAATTACCTCTCCCAGTGGAATAAATTTCTTTACATGGCTCTGAATTACTCACGTCAGCCTGAAGGAGTCCTTCTGTATTTCCTGTAGGCAGGACTTTGGGAGGCATACTTTCAGAATGTTCACTTCCCTACTAATTTATTGTCTTTTTCCATTGTAGGACTTCAGACATGTCATCCTACTGGCTTCTGGCCTTCATTATTTCTAAGGAGAAATCTGTCAATAATTTTGTTAATCTGTTAATAATCCATTTTGTGTTAAGGATCATGTCTGTCATACTGCTATGAACTTCCATCTTGGTGTCTTATCTTTTGATAGTTCAAATATATGATGTCTCCTAGAGTTTATATAGTCGGAGTGCACTGAACTTCGTGGTTGTAGGTAGACTTTCAGGGCATTCCACAAATTTGGAAATTGTTTAACGATTTTTGCTTCAACTGTTCTTTCTCACCCTCTTTTCTCCTTTTCTTATGAAACTCTCATTCTGCATGTATTGGTTTACTTGATGGTATTGCACAGGTCTCTTAGGAACTGTTTAATATTCTCGTTTTCCCCCTGCTGACTTGATTATTTCAATTGACATGTCTTAGAGTTTGCCAGTTCTTTCTTCTCCCTGTCCAAAGCTCCTTTTGAAACCGTCTTGTAAGTTTCTCACTTTTGCTATGGGACTGAGAGCTTCAGAATCTTGATTTGTTTTTATAATTTTTGGGCCAAAGTCTTGAAACTTTTTGGAGGGACGTTATTCTCCTGATGTCCTTTCATTCTTTGTGCATTGCTTATTTAGCCATTTAAGCCTGTTTAAGAGAGTTGATAGCCTTTATTAAGGCCAATGCCTGGGCTGCCTCAGAGCTTTTCTCTTTTAACTGAAGGGCTATACTTTCTGATTTATTTGTATGCCTCCTAATTTTCCAGACTGAACATTTTCAGTGTTTTGTCAACTCTGAAAATCATGTTATTCTCCTTGTCTTCTCTCAAAAATTGGTTTTTATTGCTTTTATTTATAGTAGTTGTTGTTTGGTTAATAAATTTCCTGAACTAATGTCATTTGGGGATAATTTTAAATTCATATAACACAGATAAACCATCTTAAACTGAAAAGTTTGGTGGCATTTAGTACATTCACAGTGTTGTGCAGCCACCATGTCTCTCTAATTCTAAAACATTTTTATTACTCCAGAAAAAGTCTCAGAGCAATGAAGTAATTTCTCATTCACCTATCCTTCTACCCTTGGACCACAGATTTGTTTTCTGTCACTATGAATGTGTCTCGTTTGCATATTTTCTATAAATGGAATCATATAATATGTGGCCTTTTGTATCTGATTTCCATTACTTAGTAGTGTAATTTCTTCAGAGTTCATCTGTACTGTGGCACATGTCAGATTTTCACTCTTTTTCCATGGCTCAATAATATTACATTATATAGACAGACCACATTTTACTTACCCATGCATCTGTTGAGGCACATTTGTGTTGTTTCCACCAGTTAGCTATTGTGAATACATAATGTGTTCAGATATTTGTTCAAATTCTTTCTTTCAGTTTTTTGGGGTATATACCCAGAAGTGGTATTGGACAGTCATATGGTAATTCTCTTTTTTAGCTTTCTGGGGAACTTCCATACTGTTTTCCCTAGCAGTTTCATAACTGTTTTGCATTCTTGCTAGCCACCCACAAGGGTTCTAATCTGTCTGGATTCCTGCCAGCACTGTTATTTTCTGCGTCTCTCTCATTAAGTGTTCTCTTGGTATCTGTGAAGGTTTTTGTTTGTTTAGTTTTTGTTTTTGTTTTTGAGACAAGGTCTCACTCTGTTGGTCAGACTAGAGTGCAATGGTGCTATTTCTGCTCACTGCAACCTCCGCCTCCCAAGCTCAAGCAATTCTCTTGCCACAGCCTCCCAAGTAGCTGGGATTACAGGTCACACACCACCATGCCTGGCTAATTTTTGTAAATTTTTAGTAGAGGTGTGGTTTCACCATGTTGGCCAGGCTGTTCTTAAATTCCTGACCTCAGATGATTCACCTGTCTCACCACCACAAAGTACTGGGATTACAGGCATGAGCCTCCTGTTCTATATTTATTTCTTTAGTTACATGTTTTCTCTGAATACCACTTGTGAACTTCACAATCTCATTATTGTTGAGGTACATACTTGAAGATAGAGCGTTTTGACTCTTCCTACATCTGTTCCAGCATCTAGAGACATTTTGAGTTCACATCTGACCCATTAGTTTCACCCACACCTCTTTCTGTTTTTCTTTGTCCTTTTTAGGTTGTCCGCACAAACCAGTGTGCAGGGGAATTTGTCATCACTTTTCCTCGTGCTTACCACAGTGGCTTTAACCAAGGCTATAATTTTGCCGAAGCTGTCAACTTTTGCACTGCTGACTGGGTGAGTTGGAATGTGGTGGTGCTGCAGGTAGAAAGTATAAAGAATATGGGTAAGGATTATTGTGGAGACACTAAGCGTGGTCTCCAGAGAGCCACACACAGTCTTGAACACACTTGCAGCTACCTACTGGACGCCAGTGCATTGAACACTACCGCCGGCTTCAGCGCTATTGTGTCTTCTCTCATGAAGAGCTTATCTGCAAGATGGCTGCCTTCCCAGAGAAGTTGGATCTGAATCTAGCAGTGGCTGTACACAAGGAGATGTTCATCATGGTTCAGGAGGAGCGACGTCTACGAAAGGCCCTTTTGGAAAAGGTGAGTGGTCAAGAGCAGGGCTTAGAGATTTAGTCACATGTGCTATGTTACAGAGACACAGACCAACATCGAGTAACCATTTTGTGTCTGACCTTTAAATCATGCATTCTGAAATGGAAAGACAGAGGCTGTGTGTCTTTATATTTTTTCTTCCAATTTCTCTACAGCTATTCTTACAAGGTTGAGTCCACAACAGGGCTCAGTATTGGCTGAGGTGGGGTGTCCACAACCTGCTCCTAGTCTTTACAGTATATGTGGGTTGATACCCCCAGGGCATCACGGAGGCTGAGCGAGAGGCTTTTGAGCTGCTCCCAGATGATGAACGCCAGTGCATCAAGTGTAAGACCACATGCTTCTTGTCTGCCCTGGCCTGCTACGACTGCCCAGATGGCCTTGTATGCCTTTCCCACATCAATGACCTGTGCAAGTGTTCTAGTAGCCGACAGTACCTACGGTGAGCATGGGAACACTGAGGGGATGTGGAGGAGGTTGCAGAGCTGGGCCAGACGTGTACCCTTCCCTGCTTTTTTTCTCTAGGTATCGGTACACCTTGGATGAGCTCCCCACCATGCTGCATAAACTGAAGATTCGGGCTGAGTCTTTTGACACCTGGGCCAACAAAGTGAGAGTGGCCTTGGAGGTAGAGGATGGCCGTAAGCGCAGTGAGTGATGGGAAATGGAAGGACCCCAATAAGCCCTGTATATTTGGGGTATTCACAGCCTTCTTTATGTACTAACACGGCCTACCTGTTGCAACTTTTACTCTCTCTAGGCTTTGAAGAGTTAAGGGCACTGGAATCGGAGGCTCGTGAGAAGAGGTTTCCTAACAGTGAGCTGCTTCGGCGACTAAAGAACTGTCTGAGTGAGGTGGAGGCTTGTATTTCTCAAGTCCTGGGACTGGTTAGTGATCCGGTGGCCAGGTATGTGAGAGGGGAGAAGGCAAACAAGGGTGGCAGTGTGTGAAAATGAATAAGAAAAGTGGACAGACTATAAACAGACAATCCCGTTTGAGGCTGAGGCACGAGAATCACTTGAACCTGGAGGTGTAAGATGCAGTAGCTGAGATCGTGCCATTTTTCTCCAGCCTGGGCAACAAGAGCGAAACCCCATCTCGGAACAACAAAAAAAAGCAGAGACTCAGCATTCGTCAAGTTTTACTGAGAAACGGTACATAATAAATGGACAAAAAAAAAAACCCAAAACAAACAAAAAAACAGTATAATATGAACTAGAAATTACTGAAGTAAACAGTTTCAAACATAAAATAATGTGGCAGTAAGAATAACATACTGGCAAAATTGCAGTCTTGTTCTGCTTCTTAGGAAATCTCATAAAATTATGCAGACATCAGAATTTCCACAAAATTTACTTTTGGCTCTATAGTGAGGTAAAACTTTAGATGTTGAAATAATCCTCGAAATTTATTTAATTCTTAGTTTCCAAATGTACATGACAATAGATACATAGACTTTTCAGATTGAAAAATCAAGTATATGGTTATGTACAGTCAGGCGATGGAGATGTGTTTGAAGAAAAGCATGACTAGACAATTTTGTCATTGTTGCATACATGCCGTCTATCTACATAAACCTGGATGCTGTGACCTCCTACACACCAAGGCTGTGTGGTAGAGCCTATTGCTCCTAGGCTGCAAACCTGCACAGCGTGATACTGTACTGAATATTGTTGGCAGTTGTAACACATTGGTGAGTATTTGTGTGTCAAAATATCGAAATATAGAGTTAATACAATAAAAGTATTGTGAAAGACATAAAATATGGTATACTTACCATGCATGAGACTTGCAGGACAGGAAGTTTCTCTGGGTGAAGAACTGACTGGTGAGAGAATGTGAAGACTTTGGACATGATTGTACACTCCTGTAGATCTACTAAACATGTTACACTTTGGCTACATTGAATTTATATAAAGGTATCTTTCTTTAATGGTAAATTAGCCTCAGCTACTGTAATTTCCTTTTTAACTTTTGTTCAGAGTGTGTCTGCAGATTTGTTCTGTAGGTACACTTGTGTCATGGGGGTTCGTTACACAGTTTATTTCATCACTCAGGTAATAAGCCTAGTATCCCTTAGTTATTTCTCCTATCCTCTATCTCCTTTCATCCTTCACCCCGATAGTCCCCAGTATGTGTTGTATGCATGCATCTGTGTGTTCTCATCATTTAGGTCCTGCTTATCAGTGAAAACGTGCTATTTTATTTTCTCTTCCTGTGCTAGTTTTGCTAAGGATAGTGGCCTCCAGCTCCATCTATGTTTCTGCAAAGGGCATGATCTCGTTCTTGTAATGGCTGCCTTGTATTCCATGGTGTGCATGTACCATTCTTCCTTTACACAAGCTATCATTAATGGGAATTTAGGTTGATTTCATGTCTTTGCTATCATGAGTGGTGCTGCAGTGAGTCTAGCATGGGCATATGTCTTCATGGTAGAAAAATTTATTTAACTTTGGGTATATATCCAGAAATGGGATAGCTGGGTCAAACAAATGGTATTTCTGCCCCTAGATCTTTAAGGAAGTGCCACAGCCTTAACTAATTTACATTCCCACCAACAGTGTCTGTGAGTTCCTTTTTCTCTGCAACCTTACCAGAACCTACTATTTCCTGACTTCCTCATAATTGCCATTCTGACTGGCATGGTGAGGTGGCATCTCACTTTGATTTTATTTTGCATTTGTCTAATGATCACAGAGGCTGAGCTTTTTTTTATATGTTTGTGGGTCGCATGTATGTCTCTGAAAAGTGTCTGTTTATATCCTTTGCCCACTTTGTAATGAGGTTGTTTCTTTTCTTCTTGTAAATTTGTTTAGGTTCTTTTATAGATGCTGGATATTAGATCGTTGTCAGATGCATAGTTTATAAGAACTCTCCCATTCTATAGGTTTTCTGTTTACCGTGTGTGTAGACAGTTTCTTTGTCTGTGCAGAAGCTCTTTAATTAGGACTCATGTCAGTTTTTGCTTTTGTTGCAGTTTGTTTTGACGTCTTCATCATGAAAGATAAAGAAGGCATTTTGTCCATGCCTGTGTGCAGAATGGCATTATCCAAGTTGTCTTCCAGGGCATTTATGGTTTCAGGTTTTACATTTAAGTCTTTAATCCATCTTGAACAGTTTTTGTGAAAGGTATCAGGAATGGGTCCTGTTTCAATTTTCTGCATATGGATTGGGCAGTTAGCTCATCAACATTTATTGAGTAGGGAGTTGTTTTCCCATTGCTGCTTTCTGTCAGCTTTGTCACAGATCAGATGGTTGTAGGTGTGCAGCCTCATTTCTGGGCTTTCTATTCTGTTTCATTGGTCTGTGAGTCTGTGTTTGTTGTCTATTTCATAAACATTGAATTTCTATTTGAATGTTTTACACTTTTCTAATAATGGTTAGCTTAAAACACAAATGCATTGTACAGTTGTACAAAAGTATTTTCTTGTCTCCATATTGTCATTCTGTAAGCTTTTTTTTTTAAATTTAAACTTATTTTGGTTTGTTTTCCATTTCAAACATTTTTATTAAAATTTAAGACATAAAGACACATACTGGCCTAGGCCTACACAGACTCAGGATCCTGAATATCACCATCTTTCCCCATCCACATCTTATTCTAATGGAAGATGTTAGTTATGGCACTGACACATGTATAAATGTATCTGATATGATAACAGTGCCTTCTCCTGGAGTACTTCCTGAAATTCCTTTTGAGGCTCCCTGACAGTTAACTTTTGTTTATAGTAGGAGTATATTCTAAAATAGTGATTTTTAAAAAAGTAGTGTGGTGTCAAGACATTAACCAGTTCATAGCCATTTGTTATCATTAGTATTACATACTTTATGTGATGGATATGCTAGATAGACTTATATGACAGGCAGCAAGGTGGGTTGTTAACACTAGCATCACCACAGACACACGAGGAATGTATTGCAATTTTACAGCTGCTATGCTGTCAGCAGGTGATAGGAATGTTTCAGTACTGTTATAATTTTACAAGCCCACTATTAAATATGAGGTTTGTCACTCACTGAAAGGTCATGTGGTGCATGAGTGTAAACTGAAAATTTTAGGTAAAAGCAGAAATAACAGTAATCGTTAATCACAATGCTAACTCGAGTCATGTCTTATTAAGAACTATTAAAAAAATAAAGCTTTGTTAGTAGTAAGGAATTTTAGATGAAGTAGGTCATTGTGAGAGTAAAGATACCAAGACTATAAAGCAAGGGTGTACATTTGAAGCAGTTTCTGCCTGAGAATATAAGTAATTTTTTCAATGAACTTTAAGGGAACATAGATTTTGAAGTGGAGAAGAACACAGCAAAATAGATATTATACAATTTATTATTTTGGGCCTGTTTGAAGAATAGGTCTGGCAGGATGTGACATGGTCTGATTTAAAATAAATAAACTGATGAGGAAGCTTTTTAAACAGTCCACCACATAATTATTAGCCTGAGCTATAATTGAGATTGTAAATAGCCATTTTTCCTTTTCTGCTCCACCTAGATTTTCAATGGCCCGTATTTCCTCGGCTTAGGGCTTAGTTTCTTGTGTTTTGTCTTTATTCTCAGGTTTGCCACATTTTAGAAACACATTGTTTCAAATACTCTTAAATAGTCTTACCTGTTCTTTTTTTTTTTTTTTTTTCTGAGATGGAGTTTTGCTCTTGTTACCCAGGCTGGAGTGCAATGGTGCGATCTCGGCTCACTGCAACCTCCTCTGTTCAGGCAGTTCTCCTGCCTCACCCTCCTCAGTAGCTGGGATTACAGACACGCACCACCTTGCCCAGCTAATTTTTTTGTATGTTTAGTAGAGATGGGGTTTCACCATGTTGACCAGGATGATCTCCATCTCTTGGCCTCGTGATCCACCCACCTCAGCCTCCCAAAGTGCTGGGATTACAGGTTTCAGCCACCATGCCTGGCTTCCTACTTGTTCTTAACCTCTTTTATGATTGCTGTCTTTCTTTATAACATGGAAACATAAAATTTTATAAATTTCACTTTTATGGATAACTCCTTTCCTGACTCTAGTTCAGGTAAAATAAGGCTTTTCCAGCTTGAACCGATGATACTCACATATCATGACCTTGGGTTTCAATTTCAGACTGTCTTTAGTTTTCCTCCTGTATTTAACTTTCAGGCCTCTTCAGTTCTTCTTTTTTAGGCAGTGGAACCAAAGAGTAAATCTTGGAATGTGCCATCATTGGTACTGTTTCACTTCTGACATAATGAACTTTTACTTCTTTTTGGTCTAGAGTAAATTTATTATTCTGACCATTATCATCACGTAGCCCTCCTTGCTGCTGCTTTCTTTTAAAATTTATTTATTGGCTGGGTGAGGTGGCTCAAGCCTGTAATCCCAGCACTTTGGGAGGCCGAGGCGGGTTTATCACGAGCACAAGAGATCGAGACCATCCTGGTCAACATGGTGAAACCCCGTCTCTCCTAAAGATACAAAGAATTAGCTGGGCACGGTGACACGTGCCTGTAATCCCAGCTACTTAGGAGGGTGAGGCAGGAGAATTTCCTGAACGCGGGAGGCGGAGGTTGCAGTGAGCGCCATTGCACTCCAGCCTGGGTAACAAGAGGGAAACTCCATCTAAAAAAAAAATTTTATTTATTACACTTTAAGTTCTGCGGTACATGTGCAGATTGTGGAGGTTTGTTACATAGGTATATACTTGTCCTGCTGGTGGTTTGCTGCATCCATTGCCCCATCATCTACATTAGGTATTTATATATTTTAATACTATTGCTCCCCAATCCCCCCAGCCCCCTGCTACTCCTCCCCAGCCCCCAGCCACCCGGGCTCTGGTGTGTGATGTTCCCCTCCTGGTGTCTGTGTGTTCTTATTGTTCAACACCCACTTATGAGTGAGAACATATGGTGTTTGGTTTTCTGTTCTTGTATCAGTTT